AGGGAGGGGGGCGGCGTGGCCTGTGCTGACCCCCCTCGGCCCCCCAGGCGCTGCTGGAGGAAGTTGAGCGCCACGGAGAGAAGGTGGAGGAGTGCCAGAGGTTTGCCAAGCAGTACATCAACGCCATCAAGGTGAGGCTTCTGTCCGGCCGGCACGGCTCAGGGGCGGAGCGTCGACCTATGAACCAGGAGGTCACAGTTCGATTCCCGGTCAGGGCACAGGCCTGGGTTGCGGGCTTGATCCCAGTCGGGCAGGTTGGGGGGTGTGGCGTTTCTTAGTCCCTTCGATATTGTGGCAGCATGCCTACCCTCACCCACCCTGTCCTTCTTTCTTCTTATTTTATATTTTTATTTACTTCAGAGAGGAAGGAAGAGGGAGAGAGATAGAAACACCAGTGATGAGAGAGAATCATCGATCGGCTGCCTCCCGCACGCCCCACACCGGGGATTGAGCCCGCAACCCGGGCCTGTGCCCTGAACGGAATTGAACTGTGACCTGGTTCATAGGTCGACGCTCAGCCCCTGAGCCACGCCTGCCGGGCGTTACCCACTGTTTCTTCACTGGCAGGGAGGGGGGCGGCGTGGCCTGTGCTGACCCCCCTCGGCCCCCCAGGCGCTGCTGGAGGAAGTTGAGCGCCACGGAGAGAAGGTGGAGGAGTGCCAGAGGTTTGCCAAGCAGTACATCAACGCCATCAAGGTGAGGCTTCTGTCCGGCCGGCACGGCTCAGGGGCGGAGCGTCGACCTATGAACCAGGAGGTCACAGTTCGATTCCCGGTCAGGGCACAGGCCTGGGTTGCGGGCTTGATCCCAGTCGGGCAGGTTGGGGGGTGTGGGGGGGGCGTGCAGGAGGCAGCCATTGATGATTCTCTCTCATCATTGATGTTTCTCTCTCTCTCCCTAAAACCAATTAAAAATAATTTTTCTTTTTTCAAAAGTGAGGCTTTTGCCTCCTGCCATCCCAGCCAGGCTGGGGTCCTGGGGCCTGAACCCTCAGGGGTGGCCCCAAGCACAGGCCTAGCTGTCAGGGCGGGGGCGGGGCGAGCCGACGGCTCACGGTGTCTCCCCGCAGGACTATGAGCTCCAGCTGATCACGTACAAGGCGCAGCTGGAGCCCGTGGCCTCTCCGGCCAAGAAGCCCAAGGTCCAGTCAGGGTCTGAGAGCGTCATCCAGGAGGTGAGGCAGAGGGCGTGGCCGGGTGGCTGGGGGCGTGACCGG